GGAGTGGGTGAATTGACAAAGAAAATAGGGAGAAGTTGTTTCCTCATGTGGGACAATCTAGAACGAGAAGTCACCATGTCAGGATAAGGGACTGGGGCAGATTGAAAACAGAAAGGAGGAGGAATGGCTTCGCTCAAAGATTGGGCAGGGATGGGGAGGGGAAGGGGAGCATCATTCTAACCTGTTCGGAGATAGTAGGAACTGCTGAAGAATCTGAGATAAGAAGGTGTAGAGCTGGATGAACACAGCAGGCCAAGCAGCATGAAAGCTGACGTTTCGGGTCTGGACCCTTCTGCTATGTTCACCCAGCTCTACATCTTGTTATCTCATGATTCTAACCTGCACGTCTTAGGACCGTGCCAAGAAACGGGAGCACCTGGAGAAGATCGACACAGACAAAGGGAGAATGTGCAAACTTCACACGGACAGTTACCTGAGGCTGAAATCAAACTCGGGTCCCCAGCACTGTGCAGCAGCAGTGCTAACCATTGAGCCACTATTCCACCCATTGAGCCTGTTCCACTATTCAATGGCTGATCTGTGGCCTCCATTCTTGCCTTTGGCTCTTATCCCCTTATTACCTTAAGCAAAAAAACTCTGTCATATTGAAAAGTACGGCTGTGGTTTGTAAAACAGAGATCAAAACCTCGATCACCCCTTGCGTGCAATCATTTAACGTAACATTTTCAACTTACCTTGGGCATCCAAATATGAAGTGGTTCTTACTGTTAAAAAAAAAGAAAATTTGCCGTTACATCTGTGAATGTTCTCATTTTGAATTATAACCTCTGCGGAATGATCCACACACCCGCGCAATCATGTGTCATTTGCTTATAAAGAGGAATCTGCTGTTTAAAATACTGTAGCTACAGGTTTTGGGGCAGGATTTTTGCCTGTCAAAGGGGTACATTGTTTTTTTTTGCGCCAAGTTTGTACGTTTGCTTCAGAAGCACCGTAGCCCGTGAGGGGCTCCATGGACTGACATCTGAATGGAAAGCTGAGTCTGGAATGTCAGAATGGAGCTGGGTAATACTTTGCAACAGGGAATAGAAGAGGAAGTGGAGAGCTTAACTGAGAGGTGAGAAGGAAGGGTCCTGGGGATGGAGCTTCAATGAATGGAGATGCCTGTTCAATCTGTTCAGATCAATAACTTGGATCATCTCGCAATAGAGTTATAGAGTCATACAGCATGGAAACAGATCCCTTGGCCCAACTCATTCATGCCGACCAGGTTTCCCATAATAAAGTAGTCATAAGTGCCTTCACTTGGCTTTGCAAATCCCCTTAGCACCCTCTCTAATTTAATAATATCCTTGCTGTAGCGGGACAGCCAGAATTATACACAGTAATCTAAAAGAGGCCACACCAATGACCTGTACAATGGCAACATAACGTTTCAACTCCTATAATCAATGGTCTGACTGATGAAAGCAAGATTGAAATCTGGATGATGGTACATGATCAGGAATGCTCACTTTAATACGTTAGACTCTCACAGTACTGGAGAGGCCTTTCGATCCATCCAGACTGTACCCATCAAAAATAAAGGATGTTCCCAGTCACGATGGGGCAGTTCAGAACCGGGGTTGGGGGGTGGGCGGTGACAGTCTCAAGGGGACGGGGTAGGCCTGAGATACTGAGATGAGGAAAAATGTCTTCACCCAGAGAGTGGGAGCCTGTGGGATTCTCTGCCACAGTAAGTTGTCGGGTCCAAAACATTGAATGTGACTCCATATCTCTCTCTCTCAGTCCTGTCACCATTCCACTCTCTCTCTCTCAATTCTGTCATCATCCCTTTCTCTCCCTTCATCCTGCCCCCATCTATCTTGGTCTCCCTCACCCCACCCTCCTCGCTTCCAGAAATTTTAATTGCAGGCTCGAAAACGCATATCAGTTTGAATTATTTTAGCTCCTCCTAACAGCACGACCCTGGCATCTCGTTCACATGTGATTAATCCGGGAGATAAATGCACACAATGTTTCATTTATATATAAATATGTAACAACCACTTACAAAAAATGAGCAGGTAAAACACCTTCACATGCATCGCGTGGAGTCCAAATGTAAAGTCAACCTCGCTCTCTCTGGGAGGGTAAATACTTCAGGAATTCAATTAATTTCACCTCCGACTTTCCTGAAAAAGAAAATAAATGGGATCGTGGTTTCATTGAGCAGGGAATGAGGCCATTCGATCATGGATATTTGTAATCTCTGACCAGCCATCTCCCTGAGAGAGTTACAAACTGGTTTCTCCCCACCTCCCCTTTTCCCCACAATTTTCTCCCTTTAACTGCAGCAATTAAAAGGAACTCATCAAACAAAGTCATACAGAACAGAAACAGACCCTTCAGCCCAACCTGTCCATGCCAACCAGGTTTCCCAAATTATCTTAGTCCCATTTACCTGCTTTTGGCCCATATTCATCTCGTCCATGTACCTGTCTAAATGTCTATTAAATGTTGTAATTGTGCCCACCTCTACACTTCCTCTAGCAACTCATTCCATAGCCGCATCACCCTCTGTGAGAAAAAGTTGCCCCTCAAGTCACTTTTAAATCTTTCCCCTCTCATCTTAAAACCTATGCCCTCTAGTTTTGGGGAAAAGAACTTGGCTATTCACCTTACCTATGCTCCTCATGATTTAAACAACCTTTATAAGGTCACCCCTCAGCCTCCACACTCCTGGGAAAAAAGGATCCCAGCCTAATCAGCCTCTCCCTATACCTTAAGCCCTCCAGTCACGATAACATCGTTGTAAATCTTTTCTACACTCTTTACAGCTTAATAACATCCGTCGCTCAGCATTTAAGGCATTTCTGTTTCATTCATTAGTGGACTTTACACGAGGATCAATCTCTCCAATCGATTCACCAAGGAGAGTGAATTGCCCCCAGTTTTCCCTTCCCCTTCTCTCCCAACAATAAACCGGACAAAC